TCTAGAACTCTTCTCCTTCTCTCTTCTGCAACTTAACATCCTTTTCTCCGATCACGTTTCAGCACCGTAGGAACGTTCCCTACACCGTGAGCTCCATCTTGAATCGAACAACTTCCGATTCTGTAACCGGTAAGTTCCCCAACCTAGACGCTCGTTTCTGAGCTATATGTGAACCTAGAATTCAGCTGCATGTAAGGGTGTAGACTAAGTTCTTATGCTTTCTTTTGGTTAGATTAAATCGTTGAGGGTAGAAAACTGTATTTGGGCGAAGCAGAAACCATTTTCTTAGAACGTCACTACTGATCCGGGTAAGGGAAGCTTATTAGATTTAATTCTTATGATTTTACTATACTGCATGTGCGTTATGTGTTGTATGAAGTAAGATTTATGATATTAGATTTTTTGATATATGAATATGATCCTGAATTGATGTATGGAAATAATGAAATGTTCTATGGTTTGATTAAACTGAAAAATGAGCTGTATGATGAGATGAATGCATGAAAGTATATACTGAGAAATATATTTGATGTAAATAAAACTTTGAATATAAATTTTCATATGATATGGAACGTTCGTCATCAAACGGTCTTTGACCGTTCGGTGTTATTGTCAAGTTCAATTGAAAAGGAATTCTTTTATTTGGAAAGAATTCTCGTGGAGGACGAACGCCCTCTTATGTTAGTCTTACGTTTGAGCGTTCGGCCAAACGGAGATATATTGAGAGTTGTGTGAGAGATTTGAGAAGCCTGAAAATATATATTCAGACACTTAGTCATATTGTTAAAAACGTAACTTCACCATTATAACTTATGTAAAATCCTATTTCTATGATATGGAATCAGCGATGGGTCTCGACCCAAAGCGTACGTCTTAAGTGGCGCTCGGTCTTATACCGAACGCTCGTCCCAAAGTGTAAGTGATAAGTAGCGCTCGGTCCTATACCGAACGCTCGTTCTTTCCAATATTTTTCAACGAACAGAAATAGCGTTCGTCCTCACTTTCATAGCGTTCGTCCGAAAACTTAAATAGCGTTCGTCCGAATACTTAAATAGCGTTCGTCCTAAACTTCAGTAAATTCGCGTACCGCGTTCGGTCATTTACTGGCAGTCGATTATTCTAACTAAATTGTACTTAGTACATTTAGTACTCGTCTTTTGTATCTTTATTCAGTTGAATTGACTCTGAAATCTTGGCAAGGTAATTATTTTAAGTATAAGTTGAATTGTTCTAGAGTCAGTTCCTTTAACTGATTCAAATTGTAATAGCGTTCGTCACACAAAATGCGTCAGCTTTATCCCTTCGAAAAACAATATCTTTCGGTTTCGTTTTTTACGTTCGTCCTCGTTATGAAGAGGATTGACCGTTCGTCTTTTTATGAAAGTGGAACAAAGAATGAAAATGTTATTAAGAGGAAGTATTATGATGTGCGAACAGTATAAGCATTGAAATTATGTTGATGGATTTTGAACGAGCGTTCCAGGGAGGAACGACTCTTGAATGAAAATTGGATTGTTAAAGTATGAATGTGGTAAGCTTAGCTGGCGGTTCATCCTGATATTCCGTGAGTGCTCGTTCTCAAGTAGAGAGGAGCATGTCATGTGTGGGAATGGCAGGAGGTCCTAGTCCATAACTGTAACTTTGGACAGAACGGACTAACCTCAGGTGGCGACTGATGAGTATTCCAGTTATTCCACCTGGGTGCACGGACGTCGTAGCTACACAGAATTCATACGGTCCGGACGGTCAGTCTAGTATCAGGAATTTGATTGAGTAAATGAATGAATTGTACGTATGTGTTGTGACGTATTTGATGTGTTTGATATGTATGAAATATATGTTTTACTTGAATTAAATTCAATAAGCTTACCCTTCGTTTCTCCTTTGCGTTGTCTGTATATGTATGTCCGTCTTGTCCTTCCAATGATCATCCGTGTGGATGTGAACAGAGGGAGATGCTTCTCTGGAGGACACACTTGATGAAGGATTAATTGCTGAAGAGAATCTGGTAGAAGTTGAAGTGAAGGCCGAACAGTAGGACGTTCGGTTAACTGATTAGTTTAGTTTAGTTAAGATAGTGTATCGTTCAGAGTGAGCGTGTTTTGCTTTATGTAAATACTTGAACGTTCGGTAATTATTTTTGTAAACCGTTCGTTCGTGTTTTGTAACGATCACTCATTTTATTGTGCGTAACTTTGTAAGGCCGTTCGGCCAAGAGCGTACGTTATTATTCTTATGTAAGACTGATTTGCTATATTAATATATGTGAATATTCTATTATATAGTTGCTGACTGTATAATTTTGGGATGTTACATTCACAAACTTCCCTTTCGAAAGAAAATTATATCTAAATTGGAGTTAGTGTCTTCTCTTTTTTTCCACACCTACTTTCCACGGATCTGACTTTAATTTTGTTATTTTATATCTTCCACAAAATTTCCTTCTTGAAAAGAAATTATCACTTTCTTCCTTTTGCCAAATAAATCTAATTAAATTCATTTTCCTTATTACTATATTCATATCTCGCGGACAAACAAACAATTAATTCTGAGTATTACACGGATTTGACATTTCAACGGACGAAAATTTGTGAACGAAAACTTTAACATCATCTTATCTCTTTTCATTTCAAATTTACAATTAATAAAAATCTCCAATACATTGTAGTTACATTCATCGGTGAGATGTTGATGCGTTCCAATAATAAGATAGATATGAAATAAATGAAAAATAAAATCTTCATGATAAAATCAAATAAAAGTATATTACCTTTATACTTTTCAAAATAAGTTCAAAATCAAAATAAAAATATTTTTTAAGAGTGGGAACAATTTCTTACTACCGTTGAAAGGGTTTTCGACGAAAGTCAAATAAGACTTTTAAAAACACTTTTTAATCATTGTTATATTATATTAAACATCTTAAAAAGTTGAAAGAATCAACGATGGTTCAAAATTGTATTCAAAAGTTCACTATACAACGATAATGTTAACTACTAATAAGTCGCGATTATTCTGATATGAATTATCGTTAAAAGATATAACTTTTTTCGAAAAAACTAAACTGTATCTGAAATATACGTATTCCACAATCCTGAAAAAACAGAACTTTCAAATATCTATTCATTTTACAATTTCAAACAGTTTGTACTTATTTAGCCTAATAAATATATTAAAGAATGCACTTCAACTAAATTTACTTAGCCCGAAATGGATGTGTTGAAGAAATATTCACATATTTACGCAATTGAAACAAATCTCGTCAATTTGACATTGTGATTATTATTTACACTAAAGTACCACTTGGTTGTTATTATCAACTTGAGATATATATTATTTCAATGTTATTATTTGATATTACAGCATAGGTCAATGATTCATGTTAACCTATAAGTACAACTAGTATTCTCGAGAAAATGCTCTATTACTATAATAATCATACTTATATTTACTACTATATTCTTGTAGATCTTAAAACTCTCTTACTGGTGGATCCTCCCTCACATTCCAATCTTCAAAAGTACGCGTCAGGACTTCAAAGTTGCTTAGATCATTTCACCTGTCCAAATGACCTCGTTCAAGACTTCCGATAAGAACATTTAGCACCCACTGTGAGACTTTAGTAAAACTTTCCCCAGCCTCATCATCCCATAGTCATCACCTAAAGTCAAGCCTAACTCACAAGATGGAATCCAACCCAGTTTGACAATCCTTCAATACTAAATGCAAACGCTAATGCTGCAGAACGAAGAACAACGCAAGCGTTATGTCGAGCTTGTAGCCGTACACGCTCAACATTAGGCGGACCTTCAAGAACTCCAACAAAAGATGACTGACCTGGAGAACGAGAAATCACCTCCCTGACCTTGGCCTAACTCTCGAGAAGAAGGTCCAGGTAATTTTCGAGCAGAGTGTAACCTGCCAACACGACGAGGTTCGCATGAAAGCCACAACGGATCCCCTAACACAAAACTTAAAGAGACCGGAGCAGGTTAACCTAGCGTAAAACAATGAAAACTCGTGGACTTTCTTATTACTCAAAGCAATATCACGGCAAACACAAACATCATAACCTAAGCCAAGATAGACAGTAAAGTCCTAAGATTCTATGAGACATCCTGATAGGTGCATAAATCGAGAAGAACATCAAACTTCTTATACACACACCCAAAAATTTCGAGACAAGATTGACCATATCAAGAAATTTCATTCTTTCACAACACAATAGATGTTTCTTAAAATATTATCTCTTTAATAGTTTAAAGAGGGAATACTAAAATATAATGATATAGGAGTGAGTAGGGAGAAATTGAAATAGTACTATTTTGAGATCATGTATTTATAAAATTAAACTAAAATATACCAAAGTTATAAAAGATAAATAATATATTGAATATGTGTACAGTGTACATAAATAACTATGACTACGTGAAGCCTTATAAAGTAATATATATATATATATATATATATATATATATAATTTCCTCTACTTTTAAAATATGAATACGTATTCCTAAAACTCATCCTCTCCCGGTGTGTGATTATTTTTTTCTCTCCAATCATTTATATAAACAATAATCAATGATATTAGTTTATCCGAAGTAGCATTAAATAAGGATTATTAAAACTAGAAATAAGAAATTAATCTTGAGTAGAAAAATAAGGAATGATAGGATCGATGCATAATTTATGTTTGACATGAATACGTCTTTCCAAAATCCTTTTCGTGAGGAGACGTTTTGTCAAGCAATATGTTACAATCGGTTTCTCTAGTCAAGTCGTTGCAATGCCAATAAATTGTACTTTTTTGTTTAACACAAAATTTCATTATATCTTAATCTATTATTACGGATGTGAAACTTTTGTATAGACTCCAATTACTATAAATAGAGTTTCTCTCCATTATATTTAATACATCGTCCCCTTCATTTCTTTCGAAAATCATGAGTAAATTTCTCTCTCAAAATGCAATCATTTTTGTATGGTTGCTATGCGGAATCATGTTCAACACTGCCTTTTGCAGCTTCAATATTCGTTGCAACCAACAAGACATGCATGCTCTCTTAAATTTCAAGCAAGGAGTTACAGATCCCTCAGCTGTCCTTTCCTCATGGACCACTCAACTAGATTGTTGTCATTGGAAAGGAGTCATCTGTAGCAACATCACTAGTAGAGTCACTCAAATCACTCTCCCCTGTTCTACAACTCTTCCTAGCTATAGGGACGAAGAAGATAAATCACATTGTCTTACAGGTTCCATTCCCCTCTCCTTATTGTTAGCAGAGTTGAAATATTTAGAATACTTGGATTTGGGAAACAATGACTTCTTAGCATTACAATTTGATTATCTTCATAATCATAATTGTCATAATCTATCTATACCTACTTCTTCTCATAGTCAGTGTGTCAACTCTTCAACTCTTCATCATCTTGATATATCATATAACTATAATCTTGTCATCAACAACCTTCGGTGGCTTCCCTACATCTCCTCCTTAGAATATCTCAACCTCAATGAGATTGATCTTAGCATGGAATCTAATTGGCTTCAATTAGTTACTATGCTTCCATCACTTTCATTCCTCAAAATGCGTGGTTGTCAACTTAAAGACTTGAGTTTGTCTCTTCAGTATGCTAATTTTACTAAACTCGAATATCTTGGTCTTTCTGCAAATGAATTTAACTCAGTGTTGCCTAAGTGGTTATTCAATCTTAGTTGTGGTATTTATCATTTAGACCTTAGGTCAAATTCTTTAATAGGACATCTACCTAAGGCTTTGTTAAATCTTCGAGAACTAGAAAACTTGATCTTGCAAGACAATAACTTTGATGGACCCATTCCAGATTGGTTAGGTGATTTCAAACATTTAAAAATTCTTATTCTTGGAATAAACAAGTTTTCAGGATCTATTCCCACAAATTTGGGAAATCTATCAACCTTGATTGAATTGGATGTGAGCTCAAATCCATTGACAGGAGTTGTGTCTGAGAGAAATTTAGCCAAATTGTCAAAATTAAAGTTATTGTATATATACTCATATTCCACGTTAATCTTTGACTTTGACTCGGATTGGATTCCACCTTTTCAACTTGAGGAATTAGTACTTGGGTTTTCAAATCCCAACCTTCCTGCGTGGTTCTATACACAACGATCACTTGAAATATTAACTATATGGAATTCATCATTTGAGGCTCCAGACAAATTTTGGAATTGGGTATCATCAGTGATTGAACTCGACTTAGAAGGCAATTTGATAGACGGAGACATGTCAAATGTGTTGTTGAACTCTACAGTCATTGACATATCATCAAATGGTTTGAAAGGTTGCTTGCCTCAATTATCACCAAATGTGGTTTTTGTCTCATTATCAAATAATTCATTATCAGGAGAATTGTCTTCCCTCTTATGTGGTCATAATGTGTCGAATGGGAAAAACAATTTGTTGTATTTGGACATATCATTTAATAATTTATCTGGAGGTCTTACGAATTGTTGGAAGAATTGGAAATCTTTGGTTGCTGTTCACTTGGGAAGCAATAATCTATCAGGAAAGATACCTCCATCACTGGGCTTCTTATCTAATCTCACCTCGCTCCATTTGCATGAGAATAAACTACATGGGGAGATTCCTCTCTCATTGCAAAATTGTCGCAAGATGAATAGGCACAAGATGAATAAAGCCTTGGTTGAGTTTTTTCCGAACAATGTGACAATCCAACTCAATATGTTTTGTACGCTCATGGAAGTTGGGATTATGAGCAATATGAATTGTTGAGCGGTTGTCACAAAAAAGTGTCACAGGAAAAGGCTTAGCAACTTGTAAATCCTTGAGAAGATAAGAGATCCATTGTACTTCACACAATGTTACTGCAAATGCGTGATTCTCAGCTTCACATGAGGACCGTGCTGCAATAGTTTGCTTCTTGGATCGCCATGAGATTAAAGAGGAACCAATGAATAAACTGTTAGGCGATTTCGGCAAGCATACCGAATCGTTCAAGTAATAAACCGGTAAGATTAGGTATCGTTTTCCCAAGAGACTCGTAATACTAGAGAATTGTGTGATTAACAACTCATATAGACTCAAGAACATAAAATCGATTTACAAACAAGTGCAGAAACATAAATTCACAAGTAATTACAAGGTTGGACTTTGGTATTGAAGGCACTTGGAAATGGAAAAGACTAGAAATGATATGAAATGACATTGTTAAGGTTAGTTTTCACCAATGTACTCTTGTGTATAACCAATTTCATCTCCTCTCTATCAATTTACTAAAGTCAATCCACTAAAACACTCTAGCCCTAATCCCTTAGGTGAAAGAGCCTAGGTTTTCCTTATCAAACTCCAACCCCTTGGACAATCTAACAAGCAAACCCGCATTAAGAATTAGGATCTTAAGACAACATGTGAATCATCTTCCATCCCTAGAATCAATGAACCACAAGGACTTCTATTTCAGTTCTGGGTTCCATCTTACGTCCCAATAATCCATGAAACCCCAAAATCAAGTCATGAACGTCCCCATTACATGCAAGCTTTAAGATCGGAAACAAGAACACTAGCAATTGATAGAAAAGGCATATATATAATCAAATCATTCACAAATTACACAAGATTCAGAGGCTACAACTAATCCCTAACAAGATGAACATGGAGAACCCTAAAGCTTACAAACATGGAAGATGGAAGAAGAAGGAGACCCAAAGGAAGAGGAGTTGATGTTCCCACAAGCTCCTCGCGCCCTCCATGAGCTCCAAACGTGAAATCGCACCTCCAACGAACCAAAGACCCAAACTCCTTCGCGTTTCAAGGTTAAATAAGCTCTGTCAGACACATCAGCAAAAGTCGCGCCCGACGCCCTCTCAGCCGCGCCCGGGCGCGAGGCTCTCTGGAAAAGTCGCGCCCGGGCGCCCTCTCAATCGCGCCCGGGCATGAAACTCTCTGTAAAATCACGCCCGGCGCCCCTCTGTCGCGCCCGGGCGCGGACCATCTGGATATGGGCGAGCGTCCATTGATCTCTTCATTGGACGAGTGTCCTATTCTCCTGGCCGAGGACGAGCGTCCACTGAGTGTCTTTTGGACGAGCGTCCTCTTCTGCTCGCTGAGCGAGCGTCCTCTCTTGCGACCACAGGGCGAGCATCCTCTTCTAGCTGGACGAGCGTCCTCTCTTGCGTCCACAGGCGAGCGTTCTCTTCTAGCTGGACGAGCGTCCTCTTCTGCCTAGTTGGACGAGCGTCCTCTTCTGCCTGGCTTGGACGAGCGTCCTCTTCTGCCTGGCTTGGACGAGCGTCCACAGCTCTTGGCTTGGACGAGCGTCCTCTTCTGTGTGCTGGACGAGCGTCCACTGCGCTTTGAGCGAGCGTACTCTCTGTCGTCCACACCGTGATGAGCGTTCGTTTTCTAGCTGGACGAGCGTCCTCTCTTGTGTCCACAGGACGAGCGTCCGTTTGCTGACGACGAGCGTTTCTGCTGTGTGCTTGCTTTGGTTCATCTCTATACATTGTTGGAGATTCTTCCAAGCTCATAATTAGCTACAAAATAAGGGATTATTGATGAAAATACATCAAAGTAGCCCAAAACACATTTATTCAAAAAACAAGACAAAAGAAGAGGATTTAACAAGTTATAAGTTAGAAAGGAGTTGATTTTGCTACTAAATTGATGCTTAAATAATGGTAAAAATTAGCATTATCATAAACGATACCTAGTAATCGATATTCTAGAGTCAATGCAACTAGCTCAGTCAGAGTCATTGTATGTGGTGAGCTTGTGAATGTTTGATGATGGACAGAAAAGGCCACACTCAAGTGAGTCCTTAACATAGCGGAGTACTCTATGAGCAGATGCTTGATGTTGATTTGTGGGGGAAAATAAGAATTGACTAAGTTGATTCACCACAAAAGTTATGTCTGGTCATGTAGTTGTAAGATAAAGAAGTCTTCCTATCAATCTTGTATAGGAGTGGATGTCTGAGATTGGTTTGCCAGTAATAGCTCCGAGCTTAACAAAGCTATCCATGGGTGTTGTTACTACCTTACAACATAGAAAACCAGAATCTAATAAAAGTTCCAAGGCATATTTGTGTTGGTTAACCACTATGCCCTTGGAAGACCATGCAATTTCTAAACCCAAAAAGAACTTGGCTTCTCCAAGATCCTTAATGCCAAATTGTGCATGAAGAGACTGTTTGACCTTATTGATTTCAGAAATATCATTTCCGGTTAACAAAACATCATCAACATAAATAGTAAAGTTGTGAAGGATTTATCTGTTTTCTTGGTATATATTGTGTGATCAACTTGACTTTGTGAATAACCAAGAATTTTCTGAGCACGAGAGATAGTATGGAACCATTGTCGACTAGCTTGCTTCAACCCATAGAAAGATTCTTTAATAAACAGACCTGCTTGGGCTTGGAAGTTGAGAGACCTTGCGATAAAGCCATATAGATTTCTTCGTCTAGATGTGCATGCAAGAAGGCATTATCTACATCTAATTGGTGTAAAAACCAATTTTTGGAGGAGGCCAAAGCCAATACAACTCTTAGAGTGGTCATTTTTGCCACGGGGGAAAAGGTATCCGTGAAGTCAATACCTTCTATTGGAGTGTAACCCTTCACAATCAACCTTGCTTTGTATAGTTCTATTATCCCATCATGTTTGTGCTTGACTTTGTAGACCCACTTGCAACCAATAAGGTTTTCGTTAGATGGTTTATAAACTAGGACCCAAGTATTATTACTTGCCAGCGCCTCTAGTTCTTGATCCATGGATATCCTCCAACACTCATGTTTGGAGGCCTCATAATATTTGGTGGACTCAGGTGTGATAGTGATATTCATAACAAAAGACTGATATAAAGGTGTCAAACAATGATAGGAAAGTACTTGAGAAAGAGGATAGAGATTACCTTTGCTTGAAGATTGATGTGGCACAAGAGTGGAAACAGTAAGGTTGCAAGATAATCCTGCAAGTACGAAGGAGGCTTTCTAATTCTCTTAGGTGAACACTGCGGTGTTAATATAAGATTATGTGGTATGGCTATTGTATCTATTTTTTGGTTTTCAGGAAAAGGATTTTGTGGTGTTTTAGGTTCTAATTCGGTTTTTGATATATTGTAATCGAAAGGTTCCATAGTATGAAAGGTTGGAAAGGGAATACTAAAACTGGAAGTAGCATAGGTAGATCATTTAGTTGGTATGGAAAATGTTTTCATGGAAGATGACATTCTGAGATACTGACAATTCTCTAGTCTTGATGTCATAAACAATATAACATTTTTTGTCACTCTTATATCCTAGAAAAATACACCTTGTGGCTATAGGATCAAATTTGGTTCTATGACTAACAAAAAAGTGAATCAAAGACCTTGAGGTGAGTGAGGTAGGAAGACATTTATATAATAGCATATAAGGGCACTTGTTATCAAAGATTGATGTAGGGATTCTGTTGATGAGATAAACTGAGTGCATAACTTCATAAGACCACAATATTTTGGGAAGGTCGGCTTGAAACAATAGGGCTTTAGCAACATTGAGAATATGATGATGTTTTCTCTCTACAATAGAGTTTTGTTGGGGAGTTTCTACACAACTTGTTTGGTGAACTATGCCTTTTGTAGCATAAAACTGGTTAAATTGAAACTCTTTACCATTATCAACTCTAATGGTTTTAACTATTGTTTGAAATTAGCTTTCTACCAATGCACAAAAGGCTTGAAGTAAAGGTCTAACTTCTATTTTATTCTTTAGCAAATAAATCCAAGTGTGTTTAGAGTAATCATCAACTATGGTAAGAAAATTAGATTGATCATGTATGGACATCACATAAATTGGATCCCAAATATCAGAATGAATCAACTCAAATATTGCAGTGGTAAATGAAGAACTTAAGGGAAAACTAAGCTTTCTTTGTCTTGCAATATGACATATATCACAAACATGATTTTTATTACAATGAATGAAAGGGAACACTTTATTAATTGTTTGACCTCTATCAAAAGAAGGATGACTCAATCTATAGTGCCATAAGTTGGGAAAACTAGAAGAAAAACTAAAGAAAAATTTTATGAAATGGTGTTGCAAATAATAAAGGGTGAAGAAGAGTCGATTGTCTAGATGAAAATATAAAGACCTCTTTTTGCTTTAGTTGTGCCAATCATCTTGCAAGCACTGGAATCTTGTATTAAAAAAATGTCATTAAAGCAAGTCAACTTATAATGAAGGGTTTGGGTTAATTTTGTAACTGATATCAGATTGAATTTTAAGCTAGGGAGATATAACACATTAGTTAAAACAAAATTGGATGAAAGGTGAATTGTGCCAGAAATGATGGCTGAAACTAAGGTACCATTGGGTAGGGACACTTTGACAGGTAGTATGCCTATATGTAGTAAAGTGACCAAGGGAATTCGAGATGTGATTCATGGCACAAGTGTCTAGGATCCATCTAGAGATTAGTAGATTAGCATTGCTTGTTGGAGTTGAATTAGTACAAAATTCACATGAG